AAGGCCATAGGGTTTGGGTTTTTTTTTGTTTTACCGATCTCGCTTTTTTTTTGTGCCCGTGGGAAGTTAAGCTGCTCGCACTCCTAAAGCCATCTCCCTCCTCAGCTGAAAAATCCAAATCTTTTGTCGAGAGCTGTGCTTTTCAAAGGTTGCATAAGCAGTAACAGTCTGGGTTGGGGAGCATCAGGAGTTGTCGTGCACCGCACTCGCTGGAAGTTTGGGAAGCATTTGTGGTTAGGTAAGGGGTAAGTGGCTTGAGCCGGAGCTTTCAGGGATTTTTTTTTTTAGTCCTTGTTTCAGCATTAAACTCGGTATTTGTGGTTGGGATTAAAGGGAAAAGCTGACAGCGGAACAACATTTTCTTCCGCTGGGGTTTTAGGTGAGGTATGCAGTCACGGGAGGGGAAAAAAAGCTGACGCTCGTTTAGAAAATACCGTCCATAACTCTGCAAGTGCATAGCATTGCATTGATGGATATACGAAGAGCGTGGCAATGCTATCTTTGGGGCCATATGCTTCAAGCAGAGCAAGGGATTTGTCAGTTGTTTTCCAAAGGGTTTTAAATGCAGAAGTCTGAAAGGTGGTTGTGTTGCAACGTACAATCTGTGTTAAGATAACAGTATGCCTTTTCCGCTCCGGGATAGCTACTTTGGTATTGTCTGTAATTATGGCATAGTGATTTCAGGCCTTCGTGTTCAGCTATTTTGTGATTTTACTTCTGTGCCTGCTGTGCCATACTTAAAAATACATTGACGGTCGATGGAGCAAAACGATGACCTTGTCTCGGCTGCCCTGGTGACTTGCAACTCTTCAGAACCAGCCCTTGTGAAGACGGCTCGGTACCTGTGCTTTGTGCGCTGGCCAGGCTCTTCCAGGGCAAAAATAGACTGAAAAGGCAGTTGTGTGTGTTTAGGTTTGTGGCACAGATCCAATACGGTGCAGGTAGGTAAAACCTACTTGAATTTTAGAAGATGTATTACTGGAAGCTTTTTAAATTATTATTCGTTCAGGTGTTAATTTCACTTTCTGTCTTACTCGGAGCTGTTGGAGGTCATTTTTTCTGCACGTGGCTTCTGACTTCCACAATACAGTGGTACATGCTTGTTTTGGAGTAAAATATACCTCCCTCAGCAGAAGCTCCACACAGATATTGGCTTATGATGTTGATGCTGTACCGCATGAAACGCTTGTTATATTTGGATGTAAATGGAAATTTCTGAGGTTCGGCTCGCGTACTTGCAGTACTTCACTCCCCAGTCACAACTCCCACATGCCTAATTTAGGATAGTTACTTAAGAGGAACTCCTGTTTCTTGGTGGAGTAAAATGGAAATGAAGAGGGATTTCAGCTCAAACAAGCCAGCTGGTTTAAAACCACATGAAGTCAGGTTGGTGAGACCTTTAGAACAGCCTTGTCCTGCCAGCTGAAAGAAATCAGTCCACGTATTTATAAATAGAGTCTGTTCGACGTGAGGTTTTGTTCCCTTCAGAAGCTTTTCCCCAGCAAAGGCTTGGCACGGACTCAACACACACCCGTTTGAAATGGGAAACAAAGATCTTCCCAAGCTTGTGCTGGAAGTGAAAAGCTGGTAAAACCAGTTCTCTGCCGGCCTGTTAGCAGATTGCCTGGGCAAGGAAGGGTTGTCCCCTCCTCCTCTGCTCCCCAGCCACGTGACAATGAATTAAAACCTAAAAGAGACTTTTATCCAGCAGTTTTTGATCTACAAATAAAAGCAAAAGATGACAAATATGGGAAGTAACACCTCAGAGTGGAGGCAGGCAGCCTGTTTGAAGGCTGGAGATTGTCAGAGCGTGAGAAGTAATACCCTGAGCAGAAGTTTTGGCTGCAGGGTCTTTGCAAGGACAACCCTCCGGCGAGGCTTTTGGGTATTAATAGAAACGGCCAAAAATCCATCTGCAATGACCAGTAGTTATTTTGCACTTGGGAACGATAATATTTTCTTCCTGCCTCGTTTGCACAGTTCTTTTTGGTTTCATAGCTATAACATTTTTTATCTGATTACATGCAGACGCATGCGTGTGCTTTCCTGGTCTGCGTGTGAAGTTGTGGAAGCAAGAGCAGAGGTGCCAAGACCCGTGCGTGTCAGTGTTGTGTCCGTGTTGTGTCAGTCCCCCTGGGAGCTGGCCGCAGCCGAGCGCTTTGGTCGGAAGGGTTTCTGGAGCTTTGCAGGTGCGGTGCTGGCCGGCGAGCCGCCCTGTGCCGGGGTGTGCGTGTGGCCAGGGACCGGGGTGGGGGTCAATTTGGCCGCGGTGCAGGCTCGCTGCCCCCGTAGCCCGCGTTGCTGCAGAAGAGGCCCGTGCCGAATGCCTTGGCGCTCGGCTGTGCTTCGCTGCATCTGTGGCATGGAAGAGGCGCGTCGCCACGCTGGCCAAGTAGCGAGCAGCAGTGGGTTTGTTGCAAAACTTTCTGGTTTTGCGGTTTCAACTGCCGGCGGGCCGCGCTTGGTATTGCGGAGGAGAGGACGGGGCGCGGCGGGGGGGCACGGCGGGG